AAATGAAATAAATAGAATGCCCTCAGGAATGCCTTCCAACCTGGATCAATCTTAGCTCTACTAGACGATTCTGGGGGCTGTTAGGAAGATCAGCAGGGCTATCGCAGAGTCTGATTAGAACTTGCTTTAGAAGCCGGTTCAATGTTTTGAAGGAAATATTTATAAAAGGGTACTGTTTGCTATGCAAGCATAAGCTGTATAATTTTACTAGTTGAAAATGGGCCTTTTCCCTTTGTAGCTTCTGTGGTGGTCATCCTGAGGCCCAAGCTTTTCCTGTTGAACACCCTGGCAGTTCTACTGGATAGTCACAAACCTTGAGCTTTTAAAGAAATTACAATTTGCCGTATGACACTGGCAAAGAGGCTAGACAGGCAGTTACGTTTTTGTTGTGTTCTAGGCAATTTTTGTCATCAGAAGTGTGGCTCTGGAGGCGTTTCCTTCGCGTGAGCACCTCGAGACTCTAGCCACTGTGAGGGGAGACTCCTGAGGAGCCGGTTCCATAGTGGCTGCTTTGTCTTCTGCCTTCCTTCCTTTGCCACGTTGGTTTCCTGAGCTTTTTGTGCTGAATACCAAGATTTATAAAATGCATTTTAGGAGGAAATCATACACAACCTAGTAGAAAAATAATTTTTGTGGAGGAAAACACTGTTACCATGCAGTCTGCCTGAACACCTATCCAAGAAGGGCTGAGAGAGTCAAACGCACCTGTGCTGAGGCCATTTTGACAGGTTCTTGTCTAGTCCTTGTCCCCTGCCATTTCTATTGGACGCATTTCTCTCTCGTCTGGTTATATCCACATGCTTTGAATTCCTCCTCCTCCACACTGTCTCCCGAGTGGGTGATGAAGTGTTGGATCCTATTCTTCATGGAGATAATCTATTTTCAAAGGACTTGCTACAGGGAACTGAATGGCAACTTTGAAAGATAGTCTTTGAAAGAGACCACTAAACTCAGCAAAATTAAGATTTTTGAAAGAGATGCCAGGCAGAGACATGGCTGTTGGGTCTTCGTGCGGAGGAGGTACACATTTGTGGGCTATCTCTAGTTTCCCTATTTGGGTGCTTATTAACAGTGTGAGTGCCAGAGCTGGGCCGTTGGGGCCCTATCGCTTACATGTTGGCTATGTTAAAAGACAGATTACATCCCTTTGTATAGATTTTTTTCATCTATAAAGTACAGACAATGATAATGCCTAGTTCTTAGGACTGTTTTAAGTGCTGAACTCAAGTGAGGCACTTTATACCTGGGAAGGCTTCAGTAAAACTGCTAGATTCGTAGAATGTCAAGAAGAGATGTACTGGATCTAGATTTGCATAAAAGTTTCATCCTGCAGTCAATGTGACAGCCCTCCCTGCCAGTAACCTAGTAATAATATCAAGTGTTTTCAGGGCCAGCCAAATAGCTCAGTGGACTAAAGTTTCTGCTTAGGCAGAGCACAGTCACTGGGGTTTGATTCCTGGCTTGCTATGCTGGCCCAACCCATGGGGCGCACAGGCAATTGAGACTGGGTGTGGTGGCAAATGCCTATAATCCCAGTGCCTGGGAGGCTGAAAATAGGAGAATCACTACGAGTCTGATCTACATAGTAAGACCTTGTAAACCCTATAGAACCTGTACTAAATACATAAATTAAAAAAAAAAAAATCAAGTGTTTTCATTTTGGATTTTCCTCTGTCACTCCCCAGCGGGTTCACAGGAGAAGCATGTCTGCATAGCTAGAATATTCTGGTTCTATACACATGAGATGTGCTGGCCTTTCAGGTTGACTGACCTCCTGGCTCTCTTTCTTCCTCAGGTGCTAGAAAGCTTCAAGATCATGGACTACAGCCTTCTGCTGGGAATTCACATCCTAGACCACTCCCTTAAGGACAAAGAAGAGGAGCCCTCACAAAACGTGCCTGACGCAAAGCGACCTGGGATGCAGAAAGTCCTCTACTCGACAGCCATGGAATCCATCCAGGGTCCAGGGAAATCTGGAGATGGGATCATTGCGGAGAATGCAGACACGTAAGCAGTCATGCACCTGTTCTGATTAGGAGCACCCCGATTACTGCATCGCTGGGCCGTTACCTGCAGTCCCATCCCTGTTACAGAGGCACCTGGGAACGGAGGCCTACTAGTTTCAAAGCTAATGAAGCCTGCCTTCATACATACGTGGATAACTAGATGCGGGCAGTTTCCGGAGTCACTGTTATCTTATCCTCTCACCCCTATGGTTTCTTTTCTCAGGTGTCTCCATTTTTTCACAATGACCAAAAATATTTTTACCCCCCCTTACTACATATTTAAAACATCTACCATAAGAGGGAAGAATAAACTTTGGATTTGAATAAATGTGTAGCTAAGCAAATACAAGATAGGAATGATGTTCATAATTCAGAGCTTTTTATCTACATAAAGGGATTCTGTTGATCTAATCCTGTACCCTGGCAGACATGGTCTCTCTTCTCAGCCAGTTGTAATAGTAGCTGCAGGACTGATTTGTATGTATTAAGTGTGTATGAATAACAGATGAAGTTGCAAACGATTGAAATTACTGACAGTGTGAACCGCATCACATGGGCATGCTTGCTCAGCAAAGAGACCGTAGAAAGCAATGATTTCCTGTGACCACAAGCACCTGCCCTTTACTATCCTCTATCAAAGTCTAGACCACAGGCGTATTTCATTTTTATAAAGAAAATTAACACATACTAAAGTTTTTTTTTTTTTTGCGGGGGGGGCTTCCAGTTAGCTCAGTTGTTTAAATGCCTCCTTATGCAAACACAGTCAGGTGCAAGATTCCACAGTTCGATCCCTAGCTCCTCATGCCTTACCAGACCCGCCCTTAAAGCAGCCTGAGCCAGGAAGAAAAAAAAAATCCTTCTCTACTTTTATTCTCATGCTATGTATTTATCTCAGAAATATTTCTCTAAAGAGCTGGCCACATAGCTTAGTGGATTAAAGCACCTGCAAGCAGGCACAGGGGCTGGGGGTTTGATCCCCAGGGCTGGGGGTTTGATCCCCAGCCTGCTGTGCTAGCCCCACCCCCGGGACGTTTTGAGACTGGGCGTGGTGGTGTATACCTGTAATCCCAGCTCTTGGTAGGCTGTAAACAGGGGGATCACTTAAGAGTCTGATCTAGTAGTGAGACTCTGAATACCCTGTAGACACATCCCTAAAAATACAAAAAATACAAAAAAAGAAATATTTCTCTAAAATTCAAAAAACTACTGAACAAATATATTGAATAAATAAAAAAAGGAGGAGAAAAATTACAAACAATTGAAAAAAGAGATCAAAAAAGGAAAACTGGAAAAAAATAAAGTTTTTCTAATCCTGAGTTAACATGCCAACTAAATGCAATAATCAATTGAACAAAGTAATCTATATATGTATAATGAAGTACTACACAGCTATTAAAAATCACATTGCTACTGAATATGAAGAAATGGTTAACATTTAGCAAGTAAAAAATTCAGATTATAAAACATGATTAATAATCTCTTTTGTAAATTAATGCACACATATTAGAAAAACCAAATATTAATTGGTATCTCTGTGGAAATATAATTTTTATATATTCTCTTCAATGTACTTTTATTTTATTTCATAAAAATATCACAGAAAACATCTTACTCAGAAAAAAGTATCACATTTTAAAGGTAATATTTTCTAGTGCTTTAAAACTTTTCATTCACAGTTTAGAAATGAATGGACCAGGGAGATGGTTCAGTGGAATAAGTGCTTCCCTGGCAAGCGCAAGTGCCTGAGTTCAATCCCTGGTTCTGCAAAAAAAAAAAAAAGACCAAATATGGGGCCCAGGAGATAGCTCAGTGCAATAAGTGCTTGCCTGGCAAGCACAAGGTCCTGAGTTTGATCCCTGGTACCGCCAAATAAACAGTTTAGAAATGAAGATGATTTCTTTTTTTCTGTATTTAGTACAAGGTCTACAGGGTCTCACTACATAGATCGGACTCATAGTGACTCTTCTGTTCTCAATTCCCAAGTGCTGGGATTACAGGCACGCGCCACTGCTCCCAGTCTCAATCGCCATCTCAGCACTCCCCGGGGGCGGGACCGGCACTGCACGCCAGGAGTTGAACCCTGACCCCTGAACATGGAGATAATTTTAAGACTGAGTTCTTCCCACCCACCTTTCTGAGCTGACAGCGCAGGTGCCAGCTGTTCTCCTGTATGGAGCGCAGAGTTCTGCATCCTCAGAAAGACGAATTAACTAACACAGAAACTGTGTATTACAACAAATACTGTGAAATTCATATTACTTTGTTAAGTGAAATTCTCTATCACTTTTAATTTTGTCTGTCTTAGGGCCAGGAATGTAGCTCAGAGGCATAAGTGCCTGCCTGGCAATTGCAAGGTATCGAGTTCAATCCCCAGTACCAAAAAAAAAAAAAAAACAATTCTGTTTTAATTCTAATTTGTACTCTCTTTAAAAAATAAAAAAATTAAAACAACAAGAAAGAAAAACAGTGAATTAGGACATTGACCAGAATTCTTCAAGATTGTTCTTCAGGTAGCTTTGCTGAAACAAGGCCTAATGGGCGTGATGGTGCATGCCTGTAATCCCAGCGATGGGGAGGCTGAGACAGGAGGATCGCTATGAGTCTGGGCTGCATAGTGAGATGCTGTACCAAATACATTTTTTTTAAAAAATGGCTTAAGACTCAGAGTTGTTCCTCTTCATGGAAAGCTTTAGTAAAAAGCAAAAGATGTATATGATTTGGAAAGAACCCAGAGTATTAAGAGATTTATTTTCAGTCTATCTAAAATGATTTTTAACTTGCATAATTGTATAGTAACATGTGTTCTTTTATGTCCTATCAACAGAATGGGAGGCATTCCAGCTAAAAGCCATAAGGGAGAAAAATTGCTTTTATTTATGGGCATTATTGACATTCTACAATCATATAGGTGAGAAATTTTGAGAAGTGACTTTTTATTATTTCAAAAGCAGTCAAGACAAGTTTTGGAAAATTCACCAAATTTGAGTGGCTTTGCATTCTTACAGTTATTTTTCCATGTATATCCAGGTTAATGAAGAAGCTGGAGCACTCCTGGAAAGCTCTTGTGTATGACGGGGTAAGTGACCTGCGTTTCTTGTCACACTGCGTGCCTTCTGATTTCTCAGAGACTTCCTAGTGGGTTTGGGAAACAGCAGCCCTGAGCTCTAAAAAGAGGAGCAAAGGTCTTTATAACCCGGAACCTTAGACTAGCGTGTTAGTCCAGATCTGAGAACATGAAACACACCTATTGAGTAGCTATTCAATAGGTGACATCCAGCTTCCTGCCATGTGACAGCTCAGACAGCAAAGTGGTGGTTGTTTGTGTGTGAAGTGAAAACACCCAACTATGAGGTCATGGGGGAAGAAAAGAGGACTGTTCACCAGAGAGGTTGAGAGTGTTGGAATGCGGGTGTCAGGAGACGGAGCTACTGAGCAGTCAGAGGCCTGGCTTTGATAACAGAAATGCTGGATCTGAACTTCTCCTGCACCTTGATCCCCCGAGTGACCCGGCCACGTGCTTGCGTGGGATGTGGCCTTTCCCAAGCTGGTTTCTCATCAGGAGTGTGGGGTAGCCACACAACCTGCCTAATGTGAGGATAAAAAGCAATAATGCACATGAGCGTGCCTCATGATGCCTGACGCGTAATGAGGACGCGCACAGTGAGCATGTTTGTTGGTGTGAATGTACGTGTTTATAGACTTGTAAATTGATACAAGCTGGCTGATGTGAGGGTGTCACAGAGTTGCGTCACACATTAACTTAGAGAAAAAATCAAATATCAAAAAGCAGGCTTTCTGTCTCACTCTCTGTCTCTGTCTCT